CAGCCACATGTGGCCCTGCAGATGCTGGTTGTGAGCTTGCTTTATGCCTCGGTGCTGGCAGAAGCCAGCTCAGGCTCAGCAGCCACAGCCAGCACCTGGGGGAGGTTTGCACATGGAATAAGGTCAGAAACCAGGAGTGCCCTGTCCAGACATCCCTCCCTCCATCTGTCTCCTTGTCTTGATGTCACCAGTGCAGAGCTGCCAGGTGGCGGCAGAAAGCTTCACTTTTTGGATAGCACAGCCAGGCGGAGGAGTGTGGCTCAGTGGAAGGGTGCTTGCCTAGCATGCACAAGACGTTGATGTTAAACAGGGAAAAATAAAATGAAAATACCAGGGCCTGCTGGGCTCAGGCTGTAGTGTCACCTGTCTGCCAGCATTTCCAGGAAGCCTTTGGCTATAGCACAATGAGCTTCGGCTTAGCAATCAGAGGCCAGGCCCCCCGAGCTTAGCTGCTGTGTCATTTTGAGCAGAACCCTTGCTTCCCTTCAGCCCTCTATTTTTCATCTATCAGATGCAAGTAGAGTCTATCTCAGGGGATGTTCATCCAGTATTGACCATAATAATAGCAAACACATATATAGAGCTTCCTACGTGCCAGGCACTGCTCCAAGGGTTTCATATGAATTAGCTCATTTCATCGTCTTAGCAACACTGACAGAAGAATCATTATTATTACCATTTTGTGGATGAGGAAACTGGGCAATGACAGGGAAAGTGTCCACACTTGTCCAAGGTCTTGGAGCCAGAATTCAAACCCAGGTCACCTGGACCCCAGTGCAGGCACTCAGTCACCAGGTTCTACTGCCTCAAGCACGTTTCTAGTCCCCGCTCTGTTGAGCCAGTGCATTAGTTGCTGAAAAAAGGGCAGTGCCTTTCACAGCACTGGCATTGAAGTCAGGTGTACCCGAATGAACCACAGTCAGCGTTCCTTAGGGTCACCTGCACACCCCTGTTTGCTGTGGCACAGTGTACAAGAGCCAAGACCTGGTCCCAGCATAGGGGCCCATCAGCAGGTGAATGGGTAAGGGAAGCATGGCGTGTGTACATGATGGAGATGGTTCAGCCATAAAGGAAATCGGCATTTTTGTCATCTGCAGAAAGAAGGATGGATCTGGAGATCATCATCCTAAACAAACTAAGCCAGATGGAGAAGGACAAATATCACTCATTTTTCCTAATATGTAGAATCTAAAAAAGATGACAGGAGGGGCCAGGATTTAGCTCAGTGGCACCGAGCCTGCCTCTCCCAAGTGCAAGGTCCTGAGTTTGGTCCCTGTACCAAAAAAAAAAAAAAAAGGATGACAAGAAAGTAGAAGGGAGACTATTATTAGACAAGAAGAAAGGAATAAAGGAGTAGAAGAGGAGGTGTAAGGGTAGGGAATAGGGAATTTGAGTATGGTAAAAAATACTCACATTAAAATCCCCAAAAATATGTGAAGGGGGGGCGGTAGGACAAGGGGGCTGATGGGGGAAGTGATTAAAGTATGCTATGTGCATGTACAAATCTGCCAAAATGAAACCTATTAATCTGTATCACTAATGTATGCAATATTTAAAATGTAGGAAAAATTAAAATACAGAAATTGAAGATTTTTTAAAAATGAAAAATTTTAAATGATGAACACCTAAAAAATGATAGAGTGAAACATCAGAGAGTGCCTGGAAAATGTCTTTAAATTGAGTAATAGATGCTAAAAAAGAGCCACTTGTGCAAAAGAGAAAAACAAGAGGAAGGAAGAGGAACATTCTAGGAAGAGGAAATGGCAGCGCAAAGGCCCTGGGGCAGGAATGAGCTTATTTTGCTAACAGAAGGCCAGAGTGCCTGGGATACAGTGAATGAAGGGAGTGAACTGCGAAGTGAGGTCGGAGCAGTGAGTCAGGTGGGGACTGCAGTGAGAGGGTGAGTATTTGTCAGACGCCTACTGTGTGCCCACGGCTGGTAGGCACCGGAGAGCAGCTGTGACTCCAGGCTCCACGAGGGGATGGATGAAATGACACGCACGCGAGGACTGAGCCGTGGCAGATGCCGCGTGGGTGTGATTTTCTCTCTTTTCCAGTTTGTAAGTCGACGTGAAAATGACTCCTCTGGGTTTCTGCCTCCCCCAGCCCCTGCATTTCAGCAACACAAAATGCAGTTGCTTCCGAAGGCAGTCACTGTCGAGACGGCTTTAGGTGAGGGCATTGTCTACCGGGCACGACAAAGCAGATGGCGGTGAGGGATAGCGTGGCTGGTGAGCCAGAGTCTGGCTCTCCTGTCTTCAGAGCAGGTGACCCACGCTGGCCGGGCGGGCTTTGAGGCCTCACTGCTGGTCACCCCTGTAATACAGAACAGGCTCAGGGAGCAGGGCAGTACCCGAGGAGCTGGCTGCCGGAGTTCTCATTAGGTGGGACTCCATTCGCTGAAGTTACTGGGGCTGTGGATGGTTGGTGGGTGAGGTCTTCTTCCATCCTTGTCCAAGGCCACCTTTGGCCTCTTGGTGGTCTCTTTGGGAAGGAGAGGCCAGGACACTTAACCTGTGACTGCACAACCTTGTGAGAGCGCTTGGCCTCATTGTAGGAAGCCTTCCTAAAATACAGTGGGCCCCTAAGTCATCAGGTGATTTAGTGTGGCTTGGACGAGAAGGCAGAAGAGGGGTCTGGGGAGGGGCGCCTAACTCCAGGGCAAGAACTCAGTGGGTTTGTCCCCTCAGTAGTGATAGCCAACGGTTATTAAAAGCTTAATATCCTCCAGGCTCTGTCCCGAGCACCATGCACGCCTTATCTCAGTTGATCTTCACAACCACCAGATAATGCAGGCTCTGGTATTATCCCATTTTACATGGAAGGAAATAAGCTCAGAGAACTCAACTTGCTACAAAGTTAAAAGTCATCGCATTAGTCGGGTAAGGCTAGCTACAGTAACAGATCAGATTCCAGGATATTGACTCAATGGGAAGCTTTATTCCCTGCTTGCAAAATGTCCTTTGTAGGTTCGATCCTGAGTGACCAGCTAAGCCATGGTTAAGCTATCCTGGATCCTCCATCTTGTCAGGTTTCAGAGAGTTTTGCCTCCAGCTCGTGGATGGGTCGGGGAGAGAGAAGTAGACAGAGAGGGAGAGCTCTGAGAGTAGCATGGAAGACTTCATGGAAGAGGCTTGGAATTAAGGTGGGAGCTGGGAGAGGGAGCCCAGCGATGTGTTCATGGAGAACGGTGAACAGGCTTTGGGGACCACACTGCCATCTCTGCCAAGCAAGCAAAGAGCAGAGCCAGCCTGTGCCCCAAACAAGCTTCTTCTGCTGCCTCCCTGTGCACCTTTTGTCTCCAAGTTCATGATCAGGTTCAACAGCGGGAAAATCTCATCCCACCAAATTCCAGGTTGGCAGTAGCTGGAATATCTCTTGGCTGGCAAGTCCTGGGCACCTGCTGATTGATGAAAGCTGTTCTCAACTTCCGATGATTTAGCCGCCCAGGGAATATTCGGCAATGTCTGGAGGCATTTTTATTTGTCCAGAGTGAGGGGACACTACTGGCATCTGGTGGGGAGAAGCCAGGTGCTGCTAACACTCCACAACGCACAGCAGCCCTCAACACAGAATGACCCGGCTGCACAGGCCGAGTGCTGTGCTGGGCGACCCTGGGCTCAGAACCGTGGGATTGTGTGGTTTCCTGGAGTTGTGAGACGGTCCGCTCACTACTGTCCCTGCCTGCTGGAGGCTCGTTTGCTCTCCGGCCGCATTTCCACCTCTCCCCAGGCCCAGTGGTTTCTCTTTAGTGACCTGAGTGGGGAGAATTTGGGCAGAGCATGCTGAGTGCTCCTCTGTGCAGACTTTCAGCCAGCTTCCCCTGCTCCACCGCTCCACCGTGGAGACTCAAGCCCTGCCCCTGCCGGCTGCTGCGGTGGCCCAGGCAAGCGTGGTGTGGCCCTGTGAGGAGGGGTGGCTGCTTAGCAAGGCGAGGGGGGCTTTTTAAATCAGCCTGTGCTCCTCCCCAGCTTACGGTTTCTGGGTGTGTCGCAGGCAGGCGGTGACGTGAAGGGGTCGACAGGGGAGGGAGACGGACTGGCGGCTTTTCAATACTGCTATTTTAAAAGATGTGTATGTGCATACTACGTTTGTGTATCTACATATGCATAGGCATACATGTATACCTATTTAGATTTTAATATAGTGCATATTTATAAATATATTAGTAACCAACATATTGATAAATATTAATGGATTGACATTAATGAATATTTATATGAATGGTATTCACATAAAATTAAGGATCATTTATATATTTTAAAAGCTGTGTACACATGTATAGCACAAGCACAAAAGGAGAGTAGAAAAAAAAATAGAAGTCTCTAATTTTCTCTACATAAAGGCAACCATTGATAACAATTTATTATAGCCTCCTTCCAGAATCGATGCTCTCATATGTATGTGTCTGTGTGTTTGTATGTATTCTGTTAGCATCATATATGTATGTATTATATATATGTTATATACACACAGTTTCCTATAAATTACTCTTTTCTCTTACTATACCCTGCACATTCTTCTGTATTATCATGTACTTGTTCAATTAGAAGTACTCTGATGAACCAGGTCCTATGGATAGAACAGTGAACACACTGGACAAAACTTATAGTTCCTTCATGTCAGTGCTTGAGTGAATGTGGAAATTCAGGCAATAAACAGGGCAGGTCACTGACTTTGCTGCTTACGGATGATGTTGAATGCAGAAGAGAAAACAGAAGAGGGGAAGTGACCCTGAGGGATGGGAGGAGGGTGACAGTTTTTTAAAGGGGGGCCAGTGAAGGCCTAATGGAGGAGTTGATTCTGGTGTGTGTGTGTGTGTGTGTGGAAAGAACACCCTTGCACACATCTTTGCTGACATGTCCAAATGTTCTGTGAACCGAATTCCTGGCAGCCCGACATCTCTGTTAAGGCATATGTGTTTATCGATTTTGATAGCCATGGTCAAGATTTGCTATCTAAAAAATTTTGTTTTACCCCTTTGTGTCTCCTTGACGCAGGTAACCAGTGCCCAGATGAACAGTCAGGCCATTCTCAGAAATTCCTTCCTTCCCTACTGCTACCCCTTCCCCAAGAGAACCACTACTGGGACTTGTTTCGCCATACATTCATTTTGCCTCTTTCTGACCTTTCTGCAAATGGAGTCATACCACTTCTTTTTTTTCTTTTGTTCAACAGTATTTTTGTGAATTTTTTCATATCACTGTATGTAGTTGTAGATTTTTCCATTCACATTTTTGAGATAATATGTTAGTGTATAACTCTACCACAGTGTATATGTCCAATTTTAAAAGCAGAGTGATTTTACCTGGACATGGTGGTGCACGCCTGTAATCCTAGCACTCAGGCAGCTGAGGCAGGAGGATTGCCGTGAGTTCGAGGTCAGCCTGGGCTATATATAGCAAGACCCTGTCTCAAAAAACCAAACCAAAACAAAAGTAGAGTAATTTGTAAATTCCTTCAAAGCATATTTAGGGATTCTGGCTGTGACAAAAGGCAAGGTCAAGAGTTAGGACTTTGGGGAGGCCATCAGACCCGAACTCCAGCCCCAGCATTACCACTGTACCTCAGGCTGGGGCCCATCTGAGCATCCATTTTTTGCTAGGCTTTGATGCCTTGTCTTCCACTAGGGTTCAAGACAAATGCCGCAGCGACCCACATTATAGGTTAGAGGATCGGGTCCACCTGGATCCAGGAACAATTAAGCAGGACAAGCACTGGCCGAAAGGTGGAGGCTCGAATTCCTTCCTCCAGCTCTCATTCTCTCGGAAGATGCGGCCTGGCCAACCCCTGCAAGCCTGCAGTGTATGCACCTGAGGTCTGGGGTCAGCACTCCGTGCCTGTCCTGCTGCCACTTTATAGGCTGAGTGTGAGCAGGGCAGCCTTGTGGGTCCCACCTGAGGGCCCGCAGCCACTTTTGGACAGTTCTACTCTTTGCATTTACATCCCCAGCCTCAGTCTCATTATCTGGAAAACAGAAGAATAGCTCATCTCTCCTAGGTTTTGTCAGAATGGAATGAGCTCTTGCAGGCTCAGGGCTGCAGGGGCTCAGAGCATTGGTTTCTGTCCTTTGAATCATGTTGCTGTCACTCCGAACAAGTCTGAGAATGCTCTTTTGCCACTACCTCCAGCCTGCAGTACATTAAAAGAAAACAAATAACTACGGCAGAACTCCTCATCACTGAAGTGAGACATATTTTGTAACAGCTTGGGTCATGGGAAGTGAAACAATTGTATAGATCAAGCTCAGCAGTGCCTTTTTAAAAAAATCAGAAATGAGGCTGATTTCTTTGCGTGATTTGAGTACCCAAGTTAATGTTTACGTGAGGACACTTAGCCTAGATCAGTGGGTCTGAAATCTGGCTATACATCAGGCCACCTGGGGAAACTTTTTAAAAGTATAGGTGCCTGGGAGCCAGAGATCTTGGCAGTTGACCATGTCTGTCTCTTCTCCCACAATAATAGTTTTAAAAGCTCCCCAGTGAGTATAATGTGCAGCTGAACTGAGAGTCAGTGCCAGAGGTTTCCTAAGCAGCTTGCAAGGTTCTCTCCCCAGAGCATCTGAGCAGGGCTGGGTGGGCATGGGAATTTGCATTTTGAACAGATTTCCAGTGCTGCTGGTGCTGCAGGTCTGGGAACCACATTTTAAGAACCGCCACTGTAGCAAACTACAGCCCATAGGCCAAAGCTGGTCCACTCCTTGTTTTGTAAATAAAGTTTTATTAGAACACAGCCATGGACATTTGTGGCTGCTTTATGCTACAGTGGCAAAGTTGAGTAATTACAACAGAGACCTGAGGTGCCTCTCAAAGCCTGGTCATTTCTGAAAAGATGTGCCCATCTTTTGGCTTACAGTAACACCTCTGGGTCCTTTTAATCCTTTAAGCACTCCTTCCAGGGGAGAAATGACTGTGTGATTTGAACACTGAGTGTACATGGAGAGGCCCGGGCCTCCTTCTAGCTAGGGTGAAGCTGTTGAAGGATCCCTACCCTCCTCTTCTCTCTGGGACAATTCTGTCCTTTGCAGGTGGCACTCTTGTGACTCCTTCAATGAGCCATTGGTCAAGTTCCAGCCTGCAGCAACAAGGCCTGCACAGCTTCTGTCAGAGAGCCTTAATCTAGTGAGACCAAATAGGGTCAGGCCCCTGTCCACAGTTCAGTGGGACCACCAGCCAACTGAGATTTTGATTCTGCACCAACCCAGACTATACATTTAACCTCCACAAAAGTCCTCCACCCTGCACCAATGGACAGAATCTTTCAGGGGTAGAGCTGGGTACTAAAGATATGGTTCAATATCCCCATAGGGTTCCTCAGCTGCTCCGCATCCAGCTTGGAAGGCAATTTGCAGTGAGCATCTCCCCCAAAGCCACACCAAGATCTCTGAAACAAATGTGCAAAGACGATCCTCGCTCAGATATATACAGTTTGGTGGTTCATGTAACAACAAGCACATTGCTTTATAGTCACAACTTTAAATGCTTCCTCTGAGATGGTGTACTTCACACCTAGATCTGAAAGTGATTCTTCAACCCATATGTTGTCTTAAACTCAGGCTCCAGGTGGCCCAGTCCCCACACGAGAGTGAAGAAGTGACCCAGAGGCCCCAAAAGAGTTTTTTTGTTTGTTGGGGGGTGTTTTGGGTACCAGGGATCGAACTCAAGACCTCGGATTTGTGAGGCCGGCGATGTGCCACTGAGCTAGATCCCCAGACCCCCAAAAGAATTTTAAAAGAAATTTTAATCCTGACTTCCATCTCTTAAGGAAGGAGAAAGAGATCTAATTCATAAGTCACATCTACTTCACAGTGACTTCTGAGCCACTTCTCAGTGAAAGCCCCTTACTCCACTCCCTAGTTTTCTCTCCCCTGATCTGTTCTGGATTTCTTCAGTGGTGGGTTCCCAAATGCTCTCTAGCTCAGTTGAAGTGACTTTCTCCCGCTCCCTCCCCAGATCGCCCAGCTGGCTCCTTTCCACTGAGATCTGCATAGCAGCCCCTCCCCAGCTCAGCGGCCTTCCCTTGGTGGGTGACAGGAGGGAGATTCGGTACTAACACAAAGAAATCATGCTTTTCCTATACTGTAGGGTTTTTCCACGTTGTCACGGTAGGATACTGCGCTACATCCATCCCTGTACCCCTAGAGGGCAGTAGCACCCCCCATAAAAAAGTAATAATAAAAACTATCTGCAGACATGGCTAGATTTAGGGGGCAAAATTGGCCCTGATTGAGAACCATTATATTAAAGAGTTTAATGATACGGCATAATCCACATATCTGGGCAAAGAGGCCCTTGACTTCGGCCCTCATGCATGAGATGTGTGTGTTCCGTGGAGCGAGGAGTCTGAGCGTCACGGAGTCTCCCTCTCCTTTCTAGGTCACCTCCACCTGCTGAACTCCCAGGATGTCCTGCCCAGAGAGCCCAAGCTGTCTCCCAGCCTTGCCCAGGGCTCTCCAGTTCTGTCCTCAGGAAGGTGGGCTGTGATGCCAGGGTGTGCCCTCTCGGCCCGAGATGAGAGTGGAAGGGACATAGTGATGGTGCTGAACTTGTCGGGTGTTGTGTGAATTGAATGGTGTATTGAGTAGGGGCCGGTGAGCAACTGTGTCCTGGATCAGAGCTATTACTGTATTTTCATATCCGTAGTTCCTGTATCTACTGCCACCCATTCAGAGGCCCGGGTGCTGGTCCCTGGAGAGATGGAGTGAAGATCTCCAACAGGGTGCCTCTGTGAGGGATTTCATCAACTGGCCGCGCTGAGGACCTAACTCCTTTTCCAACCCCACCCGCCGTGATCTCTGACTTCCAGTAGTTCGACAGTGCTCAGTGCTACAAAATCAAACTCATACAACCATTCTGTTTTTCACTTTCAATAAAGTACAAGAGATATTCAGTACCTCATTATGAAATAGGCATTGCGTTGGAGGATTTTGCCCACCTGTATGCTAATGTGAGTGTCCTGAGCACACTGAGATAAGCTAGGCTGAGCTGCACTGTTTGGAAGCTGGGGTATATAAAATGCCTTTTTGATGGGTGGTATTTTCAATTTACGGTGGGTGTATTGAGACATAAACTCATTGTCAGTTGAGGAGCATCTGTCTGTCTCTTCTCCTAATCTTCTCCTTGTCACATGAGAGGATCAAGGGGGTGAAGGGTGATACTTCTCTTTTTGAGATAAGAAAAGGAAAAATGATGCCCACCTTTGAATTTCAGCTCCTACTGGGCCACAAGAGGACTAGGTGACCTTGGACACTCAACTTTTTAACCCCTCTGAGCCTCAAATTTCACATCTGCAAAATGGGATTATAGAGATGTGGTGTGGATTAAGTCCCACAAAGTACATAAAGTGTTTTTCTCAGTGCAGAGTAGATTTTTAATTATTTTAATGCATTTGTCTAAATTGTCATTATCACTGTTGGAAGGAAAAACATGGAGAAAAAATTTCTGTCCAAGCAGCTGGTATGAATCACAAAATGAGCTAAGAAAGCTTAAAAAACATCACCCTTAAGTCGTGGATGGAACTTTTTAGAATCCAAGAAATGTCATAGCTGAAAGGGGCCTCAAAAACCATATGTGCCCACCCATTGTATAAATGGGGAAACTGAGGCCCAGGAAAGGGCCAAGATCTACCTTGTCGTAAAGAAAATTTAAAACCACAGTTTCTAGGTTCCAGAAAGGAGGGGAAAACCAAACGCAAAAAGGAATTGGGTAGCTGGAGGGAGTGCTGCACAAGTTGCAGAGAGCAGGGACTGCCCGTGCTGGGGCGCTGCCGAGCTGGCCTGTGGAGAGGAGAGGAGGGGAGGCAGCCGAGAAGTGTCGGCCTGCGGGGTCCCCGCCAGCAGTTAAGTTGTGAATGTCTGAAGAAGTATGGGGGCCCCTCTACAGTGAGGAGTTAGGAGGGAAAATGAAACAGCCAGGATGGACTTGCTAACTTAGTGCACTTTTTTTTTTCCAGAAATGAGTGAACAGCTTGACCCAGCACCTCAGAGTTGGCTCTCTGGGTACAGTGTTGAGGTGCTGTGGTTCCACCCGTGATCTAGGGGTGTCCCCGCACTGTGGTGCCGGGCTCACAGCTGCATGGGGGTTTCAGCGAGAGCCTGGAGCCCAGAAGTGACTCCATCCTTTCCTTGAACCAAGCTTGCAAAATGAGGAGCTGTCGAGTCTGCTCCTGTTAGTAAAGTGAAAAATTTTTTCTTTTAATTTGCAGTGTTTATCACACCCACACTCAGAGTCATCCAGCTTCCCTTCCAGAACTGTCTGCCTTGGCAAATGAAATTAGTAACCCAAAGAGTTTAGCTCTTCCAGGGAAGAACAAATCCATTTTTACAGCAAATATCAACAC